GGTTTACTGTTATTTACGTTTTAGTTCAAAACCTACAAAATCTTCATAGCTTTCTCTGTAATTTATTTTTTTATTATTTAGGGAGCTTTATAAATAGTTATGTTTTTAAAAGAAAAAAAACTACTATTGTTATAGATAACACATTCAATTGAACTAAATTGCATGTCTGTTTAAATATATTTACACATGGCTTGTGTATATCGTATGTATATACATATATATATTATTCATACCTTCGGTGTATAGGATGTAAGAAGATTTTGACATCAAATTTTGGGGTAAAAAAGTGTGTCTTATACACCGAAAAATACGGTAATTTACATTTATCAATATATCTGCTGCTTATGGTATACAGCTGTCTATTTGGTGTTTGATGCATAGCTAGTAAAGGGATTTGCTGAGTAATGATGCTTCCATTAATTATTTGTGCTGTTTTTTATTTTTCTTGTAGGCACTGTTGATTTCTAAAGAACTTGGAAACCTTAAAGGAACTTTAAAATTAAAGACACACCAACTGTCTGGTATTCTTGATAGTTTAAGGTATGTGTTTCATGTTAGATTATACAAATTGCTTGTTTTTATAATATATCTTAAATGTTGATGTATTTTTAAGTATTAATAAATGCTTTTATATGGTAATATGTATTATAATTTTATTGTTAATTGGCAATCAGTCATTTCTGGTTTCTGTTTCTCTGTATTTTATGGCTTTTGTGGAGCAAGAATAAACAGGAACACACACACACTTGCATAATATAATTCATTGAATTAATTACAACTTACAACTCCAGAAATATACCAGAAATAACTTGTTTTCCAAGACAATACTTAACTATTTTTGTAAGCAGAATAGATTGGATGATGAAAGCTATTTTACTTTTAAAGAAAAGATGTTATAATGGATAAATAAGTTGTTCTGAAGGAAACAGCAATATTTATAGAAGTAACTGTTCAAAATTCAGGACTTTGTTATTATTACCAACACCATTTTTTTGAAGAACAATATTAGGGCCATAAATTTGTCTAAATTCTTTATAAATCCTGTTTCACGTCATACTGAACTTGAATTGTAAATCTAGGCATATACTGAGAGAACAGCACAAAGACTCTGAAGTATGTGTAGCATGCTTAGATTTGCTATCTGCCCTTTTCTCACATCTGGTAGCAGAACCTGATTCTGAGATAGAAACTGAGATGAGAACAAATAGAGACCATGCTCTTCATCTTTTGAATGCTTTCTGGTAAGAATTACAGATATGTTTAGTTCTTGTTTTGTTTTTCAAATGAAATGATCTGTTATACTATTTCTCTGTTTATTTTAGCTTTAAATTTTAAAATGAATGAAAATGTATTAATTACATTATTTATATTAATAAATGATTCTTTCCATGTTGTTAACTGTTGGATGATTTATATCTTATCTGTGAATGTTGGTATTAAGAGGATGCTTATGTTATTTTCAATCTCCTTTATTATCAGGAATTTTCCATAAAGAACATGTTATACAGCTGTGACTGCATTTGAAAACTTAGCATTCAAACTATTAAAATACAGGTGCTTGACTGTACTCTTACTTTGCACAGATATTTTTAAAATAGAAATTGGCACTAACTACTTAAAATAAAAAGTATGTAGATATTGAAATTAAAGTTTACCTTTTAACCAATTGGCTGTGGCTGTTCTAAGTGCACATGGAATATTTGTAAGCTATACAACATACCCTCTAGGACGAATAAGCAGTCAATTTGTTAACTGTTCAAATTTTCTTTGAAGAGACTTTAATAGTGTCTGTTGAAATAACAAGTATTAACCCTAGAATTATGGATGAGCCCCATCCCCAGCTTTTAAACCTTTTTGTAAATTATTTATGTACCAAATTGCTTGTGGATCCATGACTTTATTGGCTACACATCTAGTAATTTATGAGTCACATACGTAAAAAACAACAACATCAATATTGCAGTTAATCCCACTGATTTATTTTGTGGTTTTCTGTGAGTTTTACTTAGAAAATGGGTAACTTCACCCAGTTTGTTTGGTCAGCTCCCTTTATGGAATGATTTAATAGGCACAAATATTATTCAGTATTCAAATATTCAAATTATTCAGTATCTAGACCTCATTGGTAGTAAAAGATATATAAAGAAGTTTGTAATTTGAAGATTAAATGTGTTATGGCACATATAATATAATGTTATTCACTTCTACCCAAAAGTCTTAGAATTTCTTTTTCCAAAAAAGAACCCATGAAATTCCTAAACTGATATATAACTGTCTTATAGTCTAAAATTCTGTATTGTCTGATTTCTTGGATTTTTTTCATTATTTTCTAAAATGTCGATGTAAATCAAATTTGTTTCATGTTTTGTTTTAATTGCTTTTTTAGAGTTTAATTAAAAACGTTTTTGAAACACTTTTTAATTTTTGTGTAAGCATAGCTTTTGTCTGTTCCATTTTACTTTGCCTAATGTCAATAGAAAATTAACTGAAATTTTCTTACATCTTCACTGATTTTGTTCAAATTTTCAGCATTTGAATTCAGTAGTTTTCAAATGTTTGACAGCTAAAGGAGTTGTCTGTGGTCAATAAATTACGAATGACAAAGGTTTGTTTAGGATTTGTTAAAAAGCATATGTTTTGTGAAACTTAAGTACCAATTAAATGCAAAGCTGACCAACCATTTGATATAAAATATATATTACATTGCAGAGTACAATTAAAGGATAGCATTAATTTATAATATTTTAGTATTTTACAAGGCAAGTACCACTGTTATAAAATACTGCCAATGAACCTCTCAGTTCATTTACATTAAGATTTGGCATCTGTTGATTTCCTCATGTGATCCAATATGTAAATGATAGGTCATTCAGCTTTCTCATAAATTAATGTTTAGTGGAATATGATTTACATGTTTTAGAGTTCATCACATTACACTTGATTGTGGAGCATGATCACTAGAGCTGGGCATTTAGTAAAATTTTCTAATTGATTAATTGTAGGGTTCATTAATGAATTACTTTCAACTAATTGATTATTCTCAGGAGATGGCTATAAAACAACTAATAACCCTATAAATTTGGTTTCGATACTCATGGTGGACAGACTACAGATAGCTTTTTGCTTGAAAACAAACAAACATAATGGCAATATTTAAGTTATTTGGATAGTTGGAATAGCCAAAAATAGTAATAATCCAAAACTAATTACAGTTCATTGATTATTTTTGGGGGTCATGAAACTAATTGATTAAGCAGAACAAACTTGAATTAATTGAAAATAATGAAAAATCATAATATAAATATTTCAGTTTCTTGACTAGTTGGAATAATCATAAACACTGATTTTGATTAGTTGATTATTTTCATGACATTAATCATTTTAATCATAATTTCAATTTCTGTATAATTGAAATAATTGTAAACAATAATAATCAGAAACACTAGTTTATTATTTTGGTGACACTCACAATTCAATTAATTGAGGGGTAGAAAACATGTGGTAAATTTGACATACTACAGTAGTCTCTTACAAGAATCCAAGAGTTGATTAGTTTTTACAAGTTTTATTATTAATATCTTTTTCATAAAGTATAAGAAGTAGTCTTGTGATAACTTGCTGTCTCTGTGGGAATAATTTTATTGATTCAAAACTTAAATCCTTTATAGCTGAACACTACCTTAATTAATGAAGTAACAAAAGGACATGAACTAACTGCTTGTTACTTATTTATCTTTTAAATTAAAGTATACTAATTGTGCATACCCACAAATTTTAAAACTCATTATAGTTCTAACAGTCTCAAATCCATACTTGACCCTAAAAGCCAGAAATATACCAGAAATAACTTGTTTTCCAAGACAATACTTAATTACTTTTGTAAGCAGAATAAATTGGATGATGAAAGCTATTTTACTTTTAAAGAAAATATGTTATAATGGACAAATAAGTTGACCTGAGGGAAATGGCAATATTTATAGAAGTAACTGTTCAAAATGCAGGACTTTGTTATTAATTACCAACACCATGTTATTATTATAATTAATTCAGGAAAATATATGGATATTTGCACCTATGTTATTACTTCATATATCTACTGATATTTCAGAAAACTTTCTTTTTGCCATTTTAGTGATTTTATTTTGGATGTGTATTATGTTTCATAAACATTTTTGTAAAATGCAGATATTACGAGCAATGTTAATCTCCATAAGATATTTTACAGAACACTGTTTTCAGTCAGAACATGTTTGTTTATTAATATTGATTATAAAAAAGATCTTTAATATTTTTAATTTTCATACTAGGAAAATGCACAAGGAGGGAAAATGCACGAAAAATGTAATGTACGGCTTAGCGAAAACAACTGTCTCAGCAGTAAAGGTAACCTTGGTTACAGATATCTACAAATTTTTTCATAAAACGTTTTCAAATGTGATTAATTACATTGAAATGAACTATTTTTATACAGTAAAGATATAAAGTTGTATGTTAGCTCAACTTTTTTTAAATACTGCTTGTGATGAGTTAGTTGGTGTTATACTTACGATCTTAATAGATGTTAAAGTATGCTTGATTTAACTTTTATTGAGTTGACAGACCAGTTTAAAAAGATGTTATAATGGATAAATAAATTGTCCTGAGGGAAACAGCAATATTTATAGAAGTAACTGTAGATATTTGTAATTAATGTGATTTTAGACTATTAATTTCATGTTAAGAAACTTTAGGACTTTTGGCTCTTGTACTGCAGCCTTTAATGGACAAGATGTTAATGTTGGAAATGCTTGTTATTTGTTTTGTATTACTTTAATAATTATTTTATTTCTAACCACTATTGTGGATGTCACTGTTGTTAGACTATACTTTGAGCTTCTTTCAACAACTGTGTCACATGAAGTATTTGTTGTTGATCAAGAAATGCTAACCCATTGCAGATTTTTTTTTTTATTTTGCTATAACTTTATGACAATTCTCATTGGCTGAAATGAGACTGTTTGGCACTACTTCTACTGAATTGATGACTCTGTTGATGACCAGCTCAAGAAAAATGTGGTAGAAAACAGTAAGAGAACCATCATAGAGTGTTTAATGTGCAAATACAAGCATCTGCAATATGCTTCAAATGCAGCCGTTGTGGTTGTTTATGGGATGGATTATTCCCTGCAGTAAAAATAACTCAAGAGCATAGTGGGAAGCAGCCAGTGAATCCTCTTGTAATTCAGAAATGTACATGAGAATTAAATCAAATTCCAGCTACATTGTGGAGGAATTCACTCTTGCCCACCACACAGTAAAATGTATGACCAAAAGTATATAGATTGATTCAAGAATGCTTGAAGAACTTTGATCTACATATCCTGATCAATTTGATATACAATTTGACACTGAGATTCATCAGTGTATCACAGCCCCGATAGCAGTGTACAAAAAACATGGTACCTTTGCCATACTTCTTTTAATGGAATACAGCAACCGTACAGAGACACATTGATTTCCATTGTGTCTGAATCAAACTACACTATTACACTTAAAAATGCAGTCTGCAGGTTCAAGGTGTGGTATAAAGACGATTTTAGCAATGATGATTTCCCAAGTGATGATCAACTGAAGTCATTAGTTTTGTTTATTGCAGTCACAATGAAAGAAGAAGGGTCAGACAGCTACCAATGTATTACTATGCCTATGTGCTTTACTATGCACATCCACTTTGAGACAAAGCACCATAAGTTTTGAAATATTTACTAAATATTTGTAAAAAAAGGTTGTGAGAGTTTCATGGTTCAAGATACATCTTAGTACATGGTTTTTAATAGTTTCCACATTGGAAAAGTTTTGGTAACCAACAAAAAGATCTCCCTTGGCTCATACAACACCTGTTAAACACACAATATACTTTTTACGTAAAACTAAAATTTTTGCCTGTTGAAAGCTCCATCAAGAGAGCCAAAAACTTACAGAAATAAAAGAAAATTATGTTTATGTAGAAATGTCCTAGTTTTTATAATGTCATATTTATATTTCCCAAATTTATATATTTAGTTACCAGGTAACACAGTATTTTATTTTCTACAATCTAGGTACACAATGCATTTGTATTATGTATATTATAAACTTCTGACAAAAGTTTTAGCTGTACATATGTCTATTACTTATAACCAATGCTTGAAGTGGGGAAAAAGATGAAACTGGATGGTTTGTGAAATTCTTGAATTTGAAAAATAAAAGAAAAGAGAATCTGTTTTTTTTTAATAATTTTAGACTAAGACAACATGTATGAGCTTGAAATACCACTCTCACTTTTATAGCTTATCTACTAAATTTATAATAATTGTATAATCACACATTTTTTTACCATAGTGACAGGACAAAAAAGTATATTCAATATGTAGGTGGCTGTTTCCCAATCAAGGCTTAAAAATTTGAAGTGGAAGAGCAACCAAGTTGATGAACATGAGACTTAATGGCATGTTTAGACTGTTTATGGAAAATGGGAATGGAAAAAAACATGTATGGCTCTTTGCATTGAAATTTGTTTCATTGTTGCTTCATATCTCATCTTGCTGCTCATACTGGTGTGACAAAGAGAAGAAAGAGATGTTAAGATATTTGGCATAGTACTAGGCATCTGTAAAAGTACTGGGACAGTTTCAACTGTACTAAAAGGTAGTGGGATGGTTTTGGGGCCCTCTTGAAAAGTAGTGGGATGGGATCACACCTCATCCTCCCCTACTTCAAGCACTGTTTATAACTAATTCTCAATCCCTATATGGTTCCTTAACCCTAATGAATGACAGTTTTATAAGCTGTGAAATGGGAGAAAGACATATTTTTATAATTTTAGTGATGAAGTATGCAGAATTATAATTCACATATAATGATAAAAAATATCATTTCTACTATTATATTTTGATGCCATTCAAATTCCATTTTTATTACAGAGGCTATTTTTTGTCTTTTTTTTTTCATTTGTTTTTTACAATTGGTCTGAGGATTTAGAATTGTGAAAATTTGCATCAGATGTGTGATATTGCATTTATTATACTATTGTTAAGAAGACTAGGGGTATGGTTTGTTTATATGAGTTGACTTGGAAGTGTTAATTTTAATTCTGGGCAAGGCTGAGGAGGCAGTTAGACTTGATGTTTTCATTTTTCATCATAATATGATTTGGATAAATAGATGTCGTCTAATACAGTTATATATACAGTATATACATTATATTGACAAATATTGTTTAAAGAGTGCATTTCTCATAAGTCATTGAACTTATAAGCAAAATGTGACCATTTATCAGAATGCTGGGTAGAATATGATGTGTTATAATTAATATGTGTACTTCATAATAAAGTCACTAAAAACTCTATTATAGCTGGATCCAACAGGAAAGTGGTTTGGACAAAAACAAAATGATGGATCTATTTGTCCAGCACAAGATTTGGCTGCCTTTCTTTGTAGTCCTCACCATGCTGTGCGCATGTTTGCTGCAGAAAATATTGGTAATCTATTTCAAAGTATTTCAACTGGTGTACCTTTGTCAGCTGTGAAACAACAGGATGCTTTTGAAATAGTATATACAACAGCAGTATCATCTCTTCAAGTTCAAGTACGTTTCATAAAATCTTCCTTGGTGATGAAAAAACATAGTTTATACCGTTGTTTTCCTTTGAAAAGCTCTTTTTCCATGTTTGTTTTATTTGTAAAAGATGTAGTGTTAAGAGCAAGATTGTTTGTAGATATAAGAATACTTTGTGTAACGACACAAATCACAGAATTTAATATACCACCTAAAATAAACACTGAAGACTAATCACATAGTTGTTCTTAGAGCTACATCTTCCTTTATTAATCAAGTTTTTATGATAAGAGTGATTGGGCATTTTCATTCAACACCACAATTACCATTGCAACGATCTTCTGTAAAGAATAGTGAGGTCAGCTTTAGACCACACATCTTGTCAAACTTTCCACAAATTCTCTGCTATTGGTGGACATTTGCTTGTACATTAAAAAAATTATTTTTGGACAGCTTTCACATAAAATCAGCTGTTGATTTCAGGTAGTTTCTGAAAACTTGCAAACATTTTGGCTTGTAAATTCTTATCAGTTTCAAATCCTTGTTTATAATGTTTGGTTGCCATGACAACCATTGTTGCCATTGTTTTGTAAATAAAGTTCCACTTTGTGGATAAGGGCGATTCTCTAGATTAACTTGAGGTATGTTTTTGGGAGCCTATTACTGTCCTGTATGTGCTGTGTGAGTGTTTTTATTTTATGGAGAACACTGAAATGGTCAACATTTTTACTATATAACTACCTTTCCTTGGAAAGGATTGTGACATATTCCTGCAGCTATAAGTTAGTCAGTGATGACAATGTACTGTCAAATGTTTAGATATTTGCCTGAACCAAATACATAGGTTTTATTCATGGTGAGTTTGTGTGACATGTCACTGCATTAGAATATGCAAGTGATTCTTATAATGTGTGTGTCTTATCATTTGAATAGCTTTATAACAACATGTTGAAATTCTATGATATTTGTATCACTTAACTGTTTAACTTTGTATAATTTTTTTGGGCAACCCTTCATCTTTCATAAGAAATTAGTGAGTGTTTTTCAGTGCAGTGTAGCTTATAGATTTATATTTACAATTTTCAACACAGTGATAATTTTTGTTGTTGTTGTTGCAAGAAATAATTTGGTAAATTTTTTTATCAAAAATATCTTCATTTAGGCTCATAATCTATATGAGATATTTTAATAATTTAAATGAACCTTTATGAAAATATGAAATACTTAACACCAACTGTTTTTAATAAATTTAAAACTAGATGTTTCTGTAAAGAAGGAGAAAGAAGTTGTTATAATACTAAAATCTATCAGTAATATCTGTTATTATTGATATTGAGAGGTACTGTGAAATTTACATATAAAATATATTTACAATTCATTATGGAAGTAATAGGAATTCCAAGGTGATACCTCACCTCTTCACACAGAATAGCTTGATCCCTTGCTTATTTACCTATGAGATTTGCATGCCACGAGTCTTGAACTAACTCTCACTTAAAAATCCTGTGTTTAACATGAACTGCATCAGTGCATGATGACATCACTATGCGATGATAGTGCTTCACCAACAGAAAGATGGACACAACCTCCTTGCGCAGTAACTCCCCTTAAGCACTTGCACTCGAAATAACTTCATTCGTTCCTTCATTTCCTTTTCCAGCATTATCCTGAATAGATGTGTTACATTTTAACTTTGGTCTTCAATTACGTGAGATTTGCTGTTCTTAATGAAACTTTAATTTCAATCAGTTTTAATAGATTTTTTCTTTTCTTCTACATACCCATTATGAATTCTCAAGTGATGGTAACTTCTACTTTGTTTGTCCTGCAGTAGTGATGATGATATGAAAATGAGACTTGTGTCTACAATGGTGACTGGGATCTTTATGTCTGTGGAGGACATGACAGTTATTGCTCAGTGAATGGTGGGCTCCCTCATACACACTGGGCCTCCTCCTTCTAGCTATTCAGTTGACATTTTTTTCTCCTCAGTTCAAACATGACCAGGATGATAATGATTTTGACCAGCTGTTCCCCCACTAGGGTTTACTCTATGTATTGCTTTGCCTGTGGACGAAAATCCTCAACCTTCTAATCTCTTTCTTGATATGATTTCATTGGTACGTACTTTCACTTTTGTTCTGGCTTACAGCCATTCATCTTTTCTATTCCTTGATTCCAGATCTCTCTAATGACTAGTTTTCCCACCTTTGTATTTTTCTTATCACTCTCCTATGTTACCTCTTGTTCCTTCACCTTATTTCTGAGGCACTTCATCATGCTCCAGATGGGTTTAGTGGAGAAGTTTGTGCTTTCATTTTTACCATTTCAAATATATCCCTCCTTACTTGGTTTCTCTGCAGTGGTAGTTTTTGGCTTGAGATGGTCGTTTAACTAATGTCTGCCTACCTCACTGTTATCTCTCTGATCATCATCAGGCTCCTTTTCTTTCACCAGAGGCCTTTGGGGGTATTCCTGTCACTGTGGAGGCCTGGGCTGAAGCAGCCCAGCTTAAATCCTTTTTGTCTTCCTCTTTTACAACCACGCCCGTCTGTTCCACTTCATAGGCCTACTCAATCCACATCAGAAAGTTGCTTAGTGAATCTGGTTAAATTTAGTCATCATAGGATGCGTATATTTTAAGAAATATAAGTTACCTGTATAATCACCATGTATTTAAAAAGAGCCCCAGAAAACAGGACTACGTTAACTCATTGACTGCGGCTTCTCTCAATATTAAGTGTATCCCCAGTGTGACACTTTTCAATAAAAAAAAAAAGTCTATTAAATTTTTGCCTTACCATTCGAAAGAGTTATTTTTTCTGAAATCAATAATACATATAACAATATAATAAAACTTTACTTACATGTGGTGAGTTTCCCAAATGAATAAATGCTCAGGCTACAATTCTGCCAGCTGTATGATGTATTCCTCATTATGCTTTAATTTATACACCTTTCAATCTGCAATTATGTTATGAATTTCAAATTTCCAGTGATATATGTTCCATAATTGATATACATGTATACATATTTAAACACTATTTAGTACATATTTTCAGTAGTCTCTTTGCATTTGCTACCCCTGGAAACATGGGTGTATGTACAGAGGAACATCACAATCTTTACACATGTTGTATGTTCTTTGAATTTTTTTTCCCTTGAGTAGTGTGGGAGCAAACTTGACATCTGCATCATGCTCTTGGCTCCCTTTCTGTGGTTGGGATAGGTTCAAGAAAGTGTCTTTGCATCAAACGTGATTGCCACATATCTATGTGATGACTTAATGACACACTGGCCCTATAGTATCTAGCAATCAGTTGGTGAATAATTGCCGTATTGAAATCATGCAATTTTGGTTTCTTACAAGTCTTCACTAGGTACATATTGAAAGCATTTAGCACTGACATGTTGAGCATCTGAAAAAAATGTTTGATGTACCACCTTGTACCTGACATGAATGTCTTTATCACTGAAACAGAGATGCCAACTTCTACATCATGATCTATTTCAGTGTCTTTTCCTGTATAGGTTATAAAATCATGCATATAGTTACTTTCTATATCTCAAAATACAAAGATTTTCACTCCAAACTGATGGTGTTTTGATGGAATGTACTGTTTGAAGCCTAGTCTCCCTTTCCACAACATGAGACTCTTGTCAGTGCTTAGATCTCGAAATAGCATGAATTTTTCTTTGACTTTTCTATGAAGATGGTCAAGCACAGGTTTCGCTTTCTGAAGCTTGTTGCCATCAGTAAGCTGTATGTTGTCAGTAAAATGTAGGAGGTGTAATACGTTTTCTAATAAATCTCAGTTCAAATACTTCATCGGTGTTCCAGTATTCACATATCACATGCTTCCTATCATGGGTCATTATCATAGTAATACACACAAACCTGTACGGTTGACCTATGGTGGTGTCCATGAATTTTCTCAGCCTACTGCTTGAAGAAGATTCTGGCCATGTTGACTTCGAGGAACCATAATAACGATTTGTCTTGGTCACAGTCACATCTAGTAAATCATCACAAAACAAGCACACATCACAGAACAAGTACTTGTTAGATCTAAGTTTTTTTGATCAAAAATAAATTGTGTTGGTATGAAACAAGTGGCAGTCCATGTCCACATATCAGGTGATGAAGCAGCCGTATGCCTCTGCCACCTACGTTTTTCTTCTCTAGGCCCAGCTTCATCATCACTGCTGCTTGATGGAGCATGTTGTTCCTGCACACCTTCAGCAAACCTACAACTACTAGATTCACCATCACTATCCTCTAAGCTAGTGTTTCTCAACCTTTTTTTGCTTGTGGTTCCCTTTAGAGTTTGATTTATCTATGTGGCCCCACCCTTCGTAGATGCTGTTACTTAGGAAAAAATGTACTTTATTTCCACACTGTTGATTTATAATATATTTATAGTATTATAATATTATTTTTACAATATTGTATTGTTTTTAAATATTTTGTTTGTAACATACTGTTTACTTATACAAGTATAAAATATTCTGTTAATCATTGAGATTTTATTCAGTGTGATCCTTGGGCCTGATGAACACTGGAAAGTTTTTGAATGTCCGGTTGCAGTGTGTTCAGTGATAAGCAAAGATCACCTCTCTTCACGACATGAAGGCAGTTACATATTTTTGATAGCAAATAAGTCACCCGACTAAAATCAGATTCAACCAGATAAGATGTGGGAAAAGAGATAAAATACAACTTTACCTTCTCCCAGAGTTGTGGAACTTATTAGCTATTTCAGTACTTATCCAGAAGTAATGTTTGTCACGTTTGAATCTAGCTTGGGCTGTTGAAAAATTAACTTCAGGCAGTGAAGTTTTGGTGGCACACTCAGAATTTTCTATGGGCCCCCTAATTTTCCATCATTCATGTGTGGCTCCTTAGAAATATGGTGTGCCCCCTCCTTGGGGGGCCATATGGCCCACATTAAGAATCACTGCTCCAAGCTGTCAGAGACAGGGGCATCCAGCAAATCCAGTAATTGGGATCAGAGGAGTGAAAAAATATGGGCAAAGGATATAGAAACATTGTCTGAGTTGGCAGTAATTGTTTTCTAACTAATTCCCCCCTCCCCACTACTTACTGCTTGCTGAATTTTTGAAAACTGTACACCTTATATGGATTAATATTAAATGTACTTGCTATAGACTATTGTTGGTCAAAATATTGAACAACTTGTTAAAGTGTTCTTTTATTCTCATATTTTGTCAATTAAATTATTACTGCAGTTTTTCTTTACTGTAGAATGAAGTAGATTAAAAAAGAGAAGCTTGATGTTAAAAATGAAATCTCTTCTCCAACCTTTGTTGATTTAATTTTAGGGAAACTTGCAGCATGAGGAACTGAGTGATGAAGGGGCCAATAGAACGAGCAGTTTGTTAATGTCCATTTCCCAGATAACACTCACCAGTTTATACTGTGAAAAGCAAGCAATTTTTGCTCTTTGCCAAATCATTTTAGAGAAGAACATATCAGTTATTTTAGTGAAAAAGGTATGTTTAATAAAACTTTTCCATTTAACAGAAATCTGTAATACATAGCTAATTATTTTCATATTTGAAGGTGTTATTGTAAAAATAAATAACAGAACTATAAATATTGCTCTGAAATGCCCACTTGAATAACAGAAAAAGTATTCTTGATCATGCTTTAGTTTTAATATGTGTATTTGTATAATGATATGTCTTCTTGAAAGGTTTTGACCCAGATCAGCAGGCTGTTAGGATATCCAACTACTACAAGTCTTCTGGAAGCTCACGTTGGTTTTTTGGTACATGAGTGGTTGCAGCAACACTACAGTTTATCACAGTTTCCATTCTCTTTACTTGATTGTCAGTCTGAGAAGGATTTTTACAAGTATGTGAGAAAAGCTTACATTGGATTACAAATAAGATATGTATTTTTAAGTACTTTATTCACTGTTAAATAACGTCTTTTGGTCTTTTGATATTTTAGTATCTAAATTTATTACATATTTGAGTTTTAAATATGAAATGCATATTTTTTAAGACTACTATGAGGAGGAAGAACATATGTTTAGAAAAATTCATATCTAATTTAATAAATATAAAGCTTAACATGCCTAACTTGATGACATAAAAGCAAGAATTGTTGGGAGGGTATTAGTGCAATTTTTCTTGAGTTTCATAACAAAGACCTCTAACATTTTAATTTATTACGTGCATATATTTGCTTTTTATAATTATGGTTTTGTGTGTCTGTTGTATTTGGTTTAAAACGTTTTAAGGAAGATGTAGAAAAAGATAATAAATCGTTTTTGTTTAGTTTATTTTGATAAAACTTCTGTTAATTTATAAATAACCACGCTAGTGTTTCTTAAAAATAAACTTACACAGACACACACACACACATATAAATATATATATATATATAAGAGCTGTTTTATTTTTTAACAACATGCTAGTAACATTTACCATAATGTTTTGTTAGTTTGATTAAGGAGTAATTCATAATTAAAAATGTTTTTTTTTCATTAAATATATTTTCAGAGCTTACTATTGGATTTTGTTACCTTTACTGTTTAATAACCAGGACCTCACTGCAGTACAAACCGTTGGAGAAAAAGTAAGCCAGAATTGGACAGAGTTGCTCAAAAAATGCTTGTCCCAGATTTTGGCATATATATTCCCATGGTTTGGAATCAGTGAACGGGATCCAACTGCAAAAGAAAAACAACAACAAGCAGTTCGGGGTCATCGACTCCTTGAAGACACACTTACTAAAAAGGTAGATAGTACTAAGTTTTTATTTTGAGATTTTTATATTGCTTTAACTGAAATTTATTTTTTGTAAACTTTATAAAAAAACAGAAAGGAATGTATAAATGTGTATATATATATATATATATATATA